TTCAATGGAGTACTGTGTAGCTATGAAAAACAGAAAAGACCTTTATAAAATTGTAGGGAATAATTTTCTAGGATATATTGTTCAGAGAATATATATATAACATACAAATTTTTGTATAAGAAAAATGGGGAAATTAAAAATACACATATCCACTTTTAGCAAAAAGAAATGCAGAAAGGATAAACAAGAATGAAACTGTTTACCTACAATGGGTAGAGCAGAAAGAGGAGAAAAGGATGGGGCAACAGGGAAGGGAGTAAGATTTGAGGACACATGAATATACACTGAAGAAAATAATAAGGGGTGAAGGAGCATTACCCCTTGCAACCTACTCTCAAAAGATTGAAGAAAAGTATATGTAAGTGTGCATATTCATGCTTGTATATGAATATATATGTGTGGTACATACACACATAGAGTGACGAAATGTTAAAAATTGGTGAATCTGAGTAAAAGGTAAAAAGTACTCTATTATTCTTACACATTTTCCATAAACTTGTTATTATTTCAAAATTAAACGTTTAAAAAACATGACCTGGTTTTAAAGCACTACTAAAAAGCTCAGAAATCAAGACTGGGATGATCAACCATTGGGCGTTTTCGGATATGTCTATGATGAATGGATAGATGTCATTTCACAAGTCTTATTTCCAGACTATTAAGACCAATAGACAAAAAAAACCCACAAAAAAAAAAAAAAAAAAAACCAACAGACATGCAAATGCACCTCTTATTCCATTAGGCAATGGCTTTTTGCCTCTAGCAGCATTTGCGCAAAGTCCAGATACACCCCGCAATCAGTTCAAATGCAGTCACAGGTAGGCTGAAGTTAGTTTTATAAGCTTACAGCGGAGAAAATACTGATTTTTAAACAAAACGAACATGAAACTCTTGAAATTAAACAGGCACTGTGATCAAGGGTACTCAAGCACTAGTGTTAGGTAGCTGTACATGAATCATCAGCACTGCCTAGTTGCTCTGACAGGCAGAAGAGAGTGTGGCCTGGGCCATCCAGCCTAATATCCATTGTGCTTTTTTCATTTAATCAACTATTATGTGCAATCACCAGCCAAGAGCCCTTTGAATCTCACTTTACCACTTACGCCATCAAGGCACACAGATTAAATATTCTTTTATTTGACCCAAATTATTATTGAGTGATAACATTTAAATTACACATCAGAAAGCAGTGCAATTATCTCTTAAAACAGGCAATGATGGTTTAATTAAAAGAGTTTGATAAAGAAGATATGGAAAAATCAGGATGTCAAGAAAAGTACCAAGGTGAACATATACCTAGACACAGAGACTGAAATATTTGACTATACAATTTGGGGTTCTAATTCCAACAATTTTTGTTAGTAGTCATGCCGAAAGTAACTGGAGAAATATATACATCATTGTTGAGAGGTTGTGTCTGGGGAGAGGATTATAGGGAAATACACGTTTTGATAAAATTTCAATGTCTGAATTTTGAAGAATAAATATGCATTTCCTTTATGATTTAAACAGCTAAAATCAGATCTAGTTATCAGTCATGGCAATAGCAAGCTATGTGAACTGACTTCTTAAGAGATTAAGCTAAATCACTAGTATTTTCAGACCTAGCTATTAAACATTAAGTTCAGACTATTAAAAGAAAATGAGGTAAGCAAATGATGAAATGTGGACATTTTTCATTCAAAATATGGCAGCTCTTTGGACTCAAAAAACCAACTCTTCATTCTATAAAATCTTTTATAATAACCTTAATGGTAGTTAGCTTTAAAAAGCCACAAAATACTGTGAATTAAATGTATGAGATACAAAAGAGGACATCAGATTACATTGGGGGATAGTTATTTTTATTAAATTTAATTAATTAATTTATTTTTGGCCATGTTGGGTCTTCGTTGCTGCACGTGGGCTTTCTCTAGTTGTGTGGAGCGGGGGCTACTCTTCGCTGCGGTGCGAGGGCTGCTCACTGTAGTGGCTTCTCTTGTTGCGGAGCACAGGCTCTAGGCACTGCGGGCTTCAGTTGTGGCACGTGGGCTCAGTAGTTGTGGCACACGGGCTTAGTTGCTCCACACTATGTGGGATCTTCCCGGACCAGGGATCGAACCCATGTCCCCTGCATGGGCAGGCGTATTCTTAACCACTGTGCCACCAGGGAAGTCCCGTTATTTTTAAATATAGTACATTTCAACAGAAAACTTTTAAAACGGGAGACTTTTTTATTCCATTTTTCTAATAAAGTTTTTCCTCTTTGTTTATGAAAACATAAAAACGTTTTCTTCTTGACCCTTTACATGTAAAATTTATCAATTTTACGGGCAGTTTCCTGGCAATTTCACCAGGCTGAACCAGGTGAAATATGTCAAGCAATTTACACATAAAATTAGAAAGCTAATTTTGGTTTTACTGCATAGTTTAGTATGCACAGGTTCCAAATTTACTGCAAAACTACACTGACTTAAGTTAAGATTTGGAAGCACCACCTTGTGGCAAAAGTAAGAACTTCTGAATTGCAGGAGTCAAGACGCGTTTCCGGGAGAGAACACTGGTGGTCTTCTGAGGTATTGGTCAAATTCTATTTCCTGACCTGTATAGAGAACGCCATGAGGCTTACTTTATCATTATTTGTTAAATAAAGCACATGACTTTTCTGTTATTGCAGGTCATAATTTTAAAAGTTTAGGGAAAAAATGTCCAATTTGTACCCAAATTGAAAGTCGTATGCCTAAATGCTTGAATTTTCTAAGTACCAGTTTTATTTCCTAGAATTATAAATGCACTATTGTATTTTTGATACACAACAAAATGCCAGAAAGAGGTATATTCTTTGGTAAAGGATGGAAGGATTTTTTTCCCTCAAAATGTTTTCACTGAGGCCCTCTCTCAGCCTCCAGAGCAACTGTAGGGGCTCTGCAGTCATCTGGAAATCACCGCTACACACCTACCCCAACGTGTCTTAAAACTGTCCAAAGAACCCTAGAATTCACTGCAACAATACAAAATATCAAGGATATGCGGCATATTTAACTATGCAGCAATATTCATCAAAAAGGTTTTTCTTTCCTATTTAACTGTATTTCCAGGAGGTGACACACACTATTCACAAAATGACCTGAACTGGCTGAGAGTTTCACCCTCTCTCACTGCCATGGAATCACTTCTCCTAGGAGCTAACAGAATCACATTTAGTGCTTCTTTCATACCGTAGAGCAGTTTGTAGGAAGGGAGAAAGCCTTACTCTTTTTTTCTCAGGAACCTGTCAGGACACATTAGTGACCATCTCCCTCACTATGACCCTCACGCCAGCAGGTGACATCTCATTGGCAGGTGAGAAGAGCCACTGGCTAAGTCTTCCCAGACAGCCACCCAAACCAGCTTCCATCCCACCATGGAGAGCAACTCTTACTCATGATTTCATCTTTGCTTCATTCAAATACTGGGAATATTAAAGATGGGAGCAGATGTGTCTGAGAATCTTTCACAGGACAAGGCCTTCTGCTGAGTTAATGCAACCTGCTAAAATAATCCTTATGCTCAAGTGAGGCACAGAAAACATTTTTAAAGAAACTAAGGCTACATCGCAATTCTTGACTTAGACCCATTAAAAGGGCTATGATAGAGAGGCAGCCACTAAGCAAATGCCGTCTTTTATAGTTTGACACATTCTAGGTATGAATATGCCAATAATCAGAAATATGACTCAGTGTAGCGTTTGTTTCTACATATAAAGAAATGTCAGGCTGTTGTACCACCAAGGTCTATAACTTCCTTAAGGAGTCTTGAATATATAGCTGCACTGTAAGATGAAAAGAAGGAATACTCTCAGGGAGTCTTTAAACAGAGTCTTATAAAGGAGAATGGGATTACTGGACTTAAATCTGAAGAGGTCAAATTCTTAGGTCCCCCGAATACACGTAAGAAAATGTAACAGGAGCTGCTTCTCTAAGATTTTGGAATTGCCCATGTTCAATGTTAAGATAAAATATTATTAATGAGAAACCTTGGCACTGATATTCCACAGAAGTTATATTTCAATTTGTTTATCTAATATAACCATAAGGTTCAAGTGACCACTCTATCTAAAAAATAAAAATAAAAAAAAAACTCTTCAATAGCTTCTAAGAAGATATGGTTAAATTATTTTAAACCTTTCCTCCTAGAAACAAGCGAGAGAGAGAGAGAGAGAGAGAGAGAGAGAGAGAGAGAGAGAGAGAGGGAACCATTAATAGAAAATAACGGAGAAAATTCAATGGGAACATAATCCTCTGGAATCTTTGCTACAACTGGAATAAAAAACTCAATAATTCTGACAGATTTTATTTTTTGATACAAACTTATATCTAATTATTCAAAGTATAGGGTATATGTAATCATTTAAAGTTTCTGGCTGATACTATCACAAGCATTAGAAAAAGAACATATACTGAGTAACAGACAGTGCGCTTAGGCACTGTTTCATATAAATTGTTTTACCTGCAGGAAATCCAGGATGTCTAGAAATTACGAAAATTATAAAAAGGGCTAGATTCTATAAGCTCTTTTCCTCAACTTTGGCGAAATATAATAACCTTAAAATACTGACACAGTCTTTGATTATAAAGCAGAAACGTACAATGGTAGATTTATTTTAGTCCTTACTCAAGACTGTATTTAAGCAAAGCTCTCGCTCGGTAAGACATATACTGATGTATGTCAGAAAAACAACATTCTAAGTTTTATGGAGCATTTATAGAACAGGTAACGTTAACAACCAGATTAAAAAATAAGGAAAACCAATGCTATTCTATATGCCCTTGAGCTGGGAAGTTTCTCAAATAATGAAGTCATGTTCAGGAAATGATACTCAAAAACATAAATTTTTATACATTAGTTTCTCTGTTAAGTAAGAATCATTCCAATTCTTCAGTTAACAGCAATACTCAAAAAATCTTCAACTGGTAAACTCATAGTTTGCAAAGTTGCGATTTTTCCCGAATCTTGAAAACTTCAAACTGCCATTAAATATATTATCTTCTGTTTCTTCTTACAGAACTAAGGTTCATAAAAGGATCATCATCATCATCCTGGAATGACATCCAAATGTAAAATTAGTGACTGTTCCACGCTTCACTGAAACAAGACAGAAGTTCTTATGGGCAAAACAATACCAGTAAGAGCCATTTTCTCCTTTCACATGGGGTAGACTTTCATTTTTCTATTTCCTTTATAAATATGAATAGTTTGTCAATTTTTTTCTCTTCCTCCCTTCCTTAGTAGCTATTTCATTGTTAAAACAATGAAAGTCCAACTAAATTCTTAGCAAGCATTAAAAATAAAAATTTATCCTGCTCTATACGTGTGTATATATATATAAGCCCACGATATATATCATATATATTTCTCTCAATTATTCACCTTAGTAAAAGCAAGTAAGGCATGGGCAAGACAAAAAAAAAAAAAAACAAAAAACTCTTCAAGTCATTTCTATTAGGTTTTTTTTTTTTTTTTTCACTTACATTTTATAACTGGTATATCTGATGTTCTGGAAATTCAGAGCCCAAAAAATAATGAAGCCACATGACCTAATTCAGAAATAGCTGTAATTTTTATTTCCATTACCCATTTAATGCTAGAAATAGACAGCTACTCTCAGACTGGTACAAGAAACAACCTAGAAAAGCAATCTTTCAAATATTTTTTTTGGAAAAATAAGCAGAGGAACTATTTAGTTTCAAAGACTTCCCATGCTGCTGGGATGTAGATTATATGCATAGTAAGAACAGGCAGGAATATCAGATGTTAACTAAGAATTTAATTAGAGAGAATGAAAACTTAACCTTCGATAAGCCCCAAATACATAATTTGATGAGGTTAACATAAAATCAATGATATACATTCTATAACTAACTATTCAAAAGAGAAAGCAAATTTGTAAAGTTCTGATTTATGTTTCCTTTAAGACATTAATAAAAAGGGACAATTATTTGGTGTTAGGCTCTGCTGGTGATATCAACATGTTCCAGTGTTCGCTGAAATTAGCCACCTCTAGTGAGATATGGATGCCATGAGAAACACAAATTCGCTCTCACTTATTGATTCATTTTCTGCTACCATAAAAGGCAGAACTCGTTAATAAACCAGAGACAAATCCAAACTGTAGTACAGAATTTGCTAATAGTTCTCCTTTGGAGCTAACATGAACTATATGAATTTCTGTAAGTAACATATAACCACATGTATATCTAGATGCTTTGGAATTAACAAACGGGTCAACAACTGCCCACTTCTCTCCTGGAGGCAACATGCTAGTATGTAATAGGCAGACTGAGCTCATGGTGCCATTTTTCTTTGCAGCCTGAGTTCTGGGGAGTCTTCGCTTCAAGCTGTTTCAAAACCACAGCTGGGACACAGAGAACATGACGGCAGCAGGTGAAGCTCAAAATCAAAGGTGTGAGTCATGTGGTACAACAGGGATGAACCTGGAGGACACTATGCTCAGTGAAATAAGCCAGGCACAAAAAGACAAATGCTGTAGAATTCCACTTATAGGAAGTACCAGAGTAGTCAAAACCATAATGCACAAAGTAGAGCCCCTTGCCAGGGGCTGAGGAGAGGGGAAAACGAGGAGATGTGGTTCAATGGGTACAGATTTTTGGTTTTGGAACATGAGAAGGTTCTGGAGATTGTTGCGCAACAGTGTGAATATACTTAATATTAGTGAACTAACTGTACACTTAAAACTGGTTAAGATGGTGAGTTTTATGTTATGTGTTTCTACCACAACTGAAAAACACCACCATGTACCACCTTAAATATACAGGAAATGTGTAGAGCATATAGTGAACATTTAATAAACGTTCTGTTGTAGAGTAACATTAAAGGCTTTCACGATATCATCACCACTATTTCTCCAAACATAAACAACAGAAGCTGAAAAAACTATTCTGATCCTACTGTTAACTGGGCAAGTTAAATAAGAGCTGAGTGGTATTATATGTTAAGGATCTGCAGGTCTTTCACATCTGAGGTATTTCCATCGATGAGCACTCAACTGAGGCCACTCATTGACTCAATGTTAACTATGGTTCAAAGGAAGGTGATCAATGAAACTATTTTTAGAAATAATTTTCGGCAACTAGCTTAGCAGTCCCTATTCAGATTTTATAAACATTTAAGAATTATTTAAGAGTTAACGTATTATGTTATTACCTCATCTGATTCAAAATCAACCCCTTTAGCTATTTGGCTCCGGGACATGTGTTTGCTCGATGATGAAGTGCTCAACCACCTGAGGCAAAATATGAGAAAAACAGAGAAAATGAACCAAAGGATTCATCACAGAAGGCTTTCTAGCTAAGTTTTTCATTTTAGTAGCAGCCATGAATAAAAATAACTAACACATTCCCTTCGAGCTACATTAGAGGCAGCAGAAGCTTAGTGGCAATGAAAAGGACTCTGATGTCAGGGTCTGAATTCCAGTTCTGCCATTTAGGAGCTACATGGCTTCAAGCAGCTTAGCCTCCCTGTGCCGTAATTTCCTCACCTGTAAAACGAGGAAGATAAGAATTTTTTTTTTAATCTTCTTTTTAGATGTTGGGGGTAGGAGTTTATTAATTAATTTATTTTTATTTCTGCTGTGTTGGGTCTTCGTTTCTGTGCGAGGGCTTTCTCTAGTTGTGGCAAGTGGGGGCCACTCTTCATTGCGGTGCGCGGGCCTCTCACTATCGCGGCCTCTCTTGTTCCGGAGCACAAGCTCCAGACACGCAGGCTCAGTAGTTGTGGCTCACGGGCCTAGTTGCTCCGTGGCATGTGGGATCTTCCCAGACCAGGGCTCAAACCCGTGTCCCCTGCATTAGCAGGCAGAACCCCTGCGCCACCAGGGAAGCCCGATAAGAATTTTTTAAAGATTAAATGTGTGTATATACTTAAAACACTTTGCTCAGTGCCTGACACACATGAAGCACGCCACAGATGTTTGCTGACATCATAGTTCTTAGCATATATTAACATGTACCTACTACCACCCTCTACTCCTGAAAATTATGGCAATACTGAAATATTTTAAATCAAATCTCAGTTACATTTCTATAACAGGATAAAAGGATCTTAGGAAAGGCTCACCGCTTTCTAGGGTTGTCTCACTGTTAATATTATTTGTGTCCAGTCCGAATAACAAATATTTACTTAGTGCTTGACCCCTGCCAGGTACTATGATAGGCCCTGGGAAACATCAGTAAGCAAGATAATCAGGAATCTACTTTTATGAAGCTTAACTTGTAGTGACGCAACTCATATTCCTATGTATTTTCACTAACAAAAATTTTAAGTCATCTTAGGACAGGGGCCAGCAAACTTGGCTAGCACACCAAATCCAGCCTACCTGTTCCTTACAGCCTGTGAGCTAAGAATGGTCTTCACATTTTGAAATGGGTATATTTAAATGGTTATATAAGCACCTACATAATATCTCCAGTTTTGCCTCTTGGCCTGCAAAGCCTAAAATATTTACTACCTGGCCCTTTAAGAAAAAAGTCTGCCGGCTCCTGTCTTAAATAAAAGCAGTGTTTGTGAACTCTCAGCCAACAATTTATTACCATGCTTTGGGACGTTACTATAGCAAACAAAATATATCTAAAGGTCTTGTCTGGACAAATTGTTGAGAGTCAAGAGGTCTATGCACCAGAAGGAAACAGAAAAATCCACAGGCTTAGGCACAAGTAAAGGACAGGAGGATTTGCCGAGAAAACTTGAAGAGCAACATAGCTTTGGAGGTAGAGGATCGAGGAATTTATCAACCAATCTACCTGGGAAGTCCCCAACTCTCTGTACTTGACCTAAGCAGGAACTGATCATTTTTGACTTGTTTCCATCATCTGTGACAGGAAGAAGCAGATCAAAAGCGTGAAGCCACAGTGCCAAGGCTAGCCACAGCAGGTGAGGCATTGTTGCTGTGAGAGCACCCACTGAGGCCTGACTCTGCTTGCTGATGTCTCCCCAGACAAATAACCAGTGGTGTCCAGAAACAAGTCAGGCATTCTACACCAGATTCTAGCTCACTTGATCATAGCAGGAGCCCCCAGTTCTGCACCAGAGGACCTCACACACCTACCGATCCAGTCTATGAGAGGTCCCCTATCCTCAGAAACCAGTGGCAGGAAGGGAAGAATAGTATACAGTTTTGACTACTGGGTCAAATAAATGGACTCTTGTCCTAGATGTCAAAAAACGTTTAATTGGATTAGTTTCCCGTGGATGGCTCAAAAATAAGGCAGACAGGGTGTATTACATTGAGTGCCAGGAGCTGTAAGTCTTCTCCATTTTTGTACAGATATAATTTGGAGGCACAAGTCAGAATTCCTACCTAGAGATGTTCAGCCAATTATGTCAGTTGTAACAGCATCACAAGCATAAGAGAACATGTTAAATTGGCCTACATAAAAGGTGCCCCCAAAATGTTGGCTCCCCCCACTGCAAGGTTTAATAGAATCCCCTCCATCGTTCCTCCTCTACCTGGCCTGATGGGGCCAGGTCTTCTCTTGCTCACTGCTTTAAGGTCAGCAGGGGGCGGGGGGGGGGGGGGGGGGCGGGGGGGGGGGGGGGGGGGGGGGGCGGAGGTTGCCACCAGCTCTATCAAATCTGGAAGGGTCCTTTTGTCCCCAGTACAACCATGTAGCGTTTGGTGCAGTTTTTCCAGGGGAAAGTGGGTGGATTTCCACTGCCCATCCAGCAGAAAGGAGTTTTACAGCTGGAAGTTCTTTCCTTTTTAAAGTCAACTACCAGAATATTAGTGCTTTTACTGCTTACCATTCTTTCCATTATTCTTGTTCTATTTCCCTAGCCTGTTATTTCTTCAATAAGCCCTTCCAGAGGTGTTACTATGTGTTAAGTGCTGTACTTAGCACTTCACAAATATTAACTCACTTTAAAGCCTCATAACAACACTTTGAGGTAAATATTATTATCTTCATCTTACAAATGAGGACACTGAGGCACAGAAGTCAAAAAAACTTGCACAAGGCCCACACTCAGTAAGTGGTAGAGCTTAAATACTTTAAATCATGAGTGAAATAACTACACAAACCACGCCATTACTAAACAATTCTTCAAAGACAGCATAAATTGCGTCACCCAGTTGCTGTCATCAGGAACACAAATCTGCCAAGGTTGATTTCAGATTTCTTGCCAAAATGTTCGTTTCTAAATCTCCTCTCGTCAATTAAATGATTCTTATTACATGCACAGAGGTCTGAGAGCTTAATCTATTATGTGAAGAAGCAGCAGCAGAGGATGGACCTAGAGATGATCATACTAAGCGAAGTAAGTCAGAAGGAGAAAGACAAATATCACATGATATCACTTACACGTGGAATCTAAAATACAACACAAATGAACTTATCTACAAAACAGAAACAGACTCACAGACATAGAGGACAGACTTGTAGCTGCCAAGGGGGAGGCAGGTGGGGAGGGATGGAGTGGGAGTTTGGGGTTAGCAGATGCAAGTTATTATATTGATACACAGGATGGATCAACATCAAGGTCCTACTGCATAGCATAGGGAACCATATTCAGTATCCTGTGATAAACCATAGTGGAAAAGAATATGAAAAAGAATATGTATATGTATAACTGATTCACTTTGCTGTACAGCAGTGATTAACACAACATTGTAAATCAACAATACT